TCAAAATCATTATTACAAAATTCAAGGCCATTATCAGTTCTTAAATATTTTATCTTTTTGCCAGTTTGAGTTTCAACTTGCAATTTCCATGTTTTGAAATTTTTGAAGGTTTCGGTTTTATCTTTTAACAGATAAACCCACACCCTGCGAGAATAATCGTCAATTATGGACAAAAAATATATATTACCACCATTATAGGATTAGTAACAGGCTCTCATAAATTAGTATGAATATATTCCAAAACTTTAGTAGTTTTGTGTATGCCAGATGAGAAAGATAACTTATGCTGTTTACCAAGCACACAGTGATCACAAAAAGGCATATTAGACACACAGTCTTTTCCAAATACACATTTATCATTTAGCAATTTTAGTCATTTAGTACTTATGTGAGCTAATCGATTGTGCCACTTATTGTATCATCAGTGTTGGTCAAATTTAGAACTGCCTACGCTATACGTGTATAGCGATGGTAGGTCGAAAACTTACAATATGGCACTTCGTACAGAGAGAAAGTTGAATTATTTCATTTGGAATGTTACATAGGCTTTTTCAATGCCAAAAAAAAGAGGAATTTTGGTACACAACTTTTGGTATAAAAATTTAAAGTAAAATGGGGCACGAATACGACAATTCAGTTCCTTATCTACAAAGAATTGAGAAAAAATGTATTCGAGTCCAGGAATCTTATATAGACTGTTCCACCTTTAGTTGTTTTCTTCAGTACGACATTGTCCCGAACTTAAAAACAAAATCCATCGTCTGGCCCATTTCATTCATCAACTCGAGGCACCTTGGCATAAAAAGAACTAACGCTAGTTCATATTGCATTTTTTTGGGAATAAATCTATTTGTACAATTATTGTTGACAATCATGGTTGACAATATTGGTGTTGTCAAAATCTAAATAATTGATTTAAAAAATAAATTTTAAAATGAATGAATTTGATGTTGTCAAGTGTAAATTGTCCATTAATATCGTAAAAAATGATTATACAAATTGCATGATTCACATTCTTGAGCTAAGATGGAATAAATTCTGTCCCCACACGAGTTTGAAACAAAATTGACAAGTAAGCTTACGTCTTGTCTACTGTACTATTTCCTGGAAAATCACAAATAAATATTGAAAAATGATGTAAGTACAGGAATAAAATGACAGATTTTTTTCAGAATTTTGAATTTTTCTCACATGAAGAGGTGGGGCCCACATGAATTAAATATTGTTAAAAATAATGGGACCAACGTATTGTGTGTATTCTGTTCATTTTCTGCGAAAAAATTCCGGTACTCGTGGCATCATTCATAAATATTTCAGACTCCAGCTGGAAAGCAAAGAAAAGTCGGTCACTATTTCGTAGAAAATAATAATGATAAATAATTTTCTAAATCTTAAAAGACAAGTTGCAACTGGTCAAATAAATCCCATAAAAGGCTTGAATTATAAGTAAGCTTTCTTGTCACATCAACAGCACTAAAATACAAAGTTTTTATCTAAAGTTCTTATCTTGCTCGTCAGTGCACAAATTACACTATTCTAATAAAAAAATCGAATGGATTGTTCAATGGGCCCACTATTTATAAAAAGGTCGGTTCAAGACTTTGCCTCTGTTTCATAGAGATTAAAATAATTTTTTTAGCAAATTTTAATAAAATGAAAATTACACCTAATCATGTTTTTTAACTATCCATTTCAAAATTCAAATTTAAACATTTTTTATTCAATAATCAGATCATAATTCAAACTTTTAATATTAATATAATAATAATATTATAAAATTAATTAATCTACTTAACTATCACAATCCATCCACACACCAAATTTCACTCACAAACACTAAGTGTGTGTTTGATTACATTTATTTTTCATAGAAAATGTAAGTTCTTTACCCAAATTCTTACTTTGAAGTGTTTGATTACTTTTTTTTTTCCATGGAAAGTACATTCCACCTTTTAAAAATATGCATAATTTTCCTTGTTTTTAAGGAAAACGTTTTTTTTTTTTTTTT